TCAAATGGTATCCTTGAGGAATTCCATGATCTAGCTATAGTGATTCTTGCTGCTATAAAGATAAAAAATTATCAGGCACTGCGTGGGTCTTGGGGCTTCCTCCACAGGGTGACCAAGTATTGCCTGTTGCAGAGATTTGATCTAGTTTGTTCCCAAAAAGAGAGTAGAGCTCCCTTCAAGGTCCAATCAGTTCTGAAGTAGTTTCAGGTTAAGCATTTGGGGTGTACATCCTTCTTCAAACTCCCAGCAGTACTGAAGTATTTTCAGGACAAGATATTGGGCTGTACCCCCTTCTTTAAGGTCCAGGTAGTTCTGAAGTATTTTCAGGAAAAGCTTTTACTGTGTACCCCCTTCTTCAACATACAAGAAGTACTTTCATAACAAGCTTTTGGGGTATACCCCTTATTCAATATTCAAAGCATTACTTAATCATTTTTAGGATAAGCTTTCAGGGTATACCTTCTTCAAGGTTCAAGCAGTACTGAAGTATTTTCAGGTCAAGCTCCAAGCAGTATTCAAGTATTTTCAGGACAAGCTTTTGGGGTATACCTTCTTCAAGCTCCTAGCAGTAATGAAGTATTTTCAGGATAATATTTTGAAGTTTACCCCATTCTTCAAGGTCCAGGTAGTCCTGAAGAATTTGTAGGACAAGATTTTAGTGTGTACCCCCTTCTTCAACATCCAAGGAGTACTGAAGTATTTTCAGGACAAGCGTTTGGAGTATACCTTCTTCTTCAAGGTTCAAGCAGTACTGAAATATTCTCAGGACAAGCTTTCTTGGTGTACGTCCTTCTTCAAGCTCCAAGCAGTACTGAAGTATTTTCAGGATAATATTTTGGAGTGTACCCCATTCTTCAAGGTCCAGGTAGTCCTGAAGTATTTTCAGGACAAGTGTTTAGTGTGTACCCCCTTCTTCAACATCCAAGGAGTACTCAAGTATTTTCAGGGCAAACTTTTGGGGTATACCTTCTTCTTAAAGTTCCTAGCAGTACTGAAGTATTTTCAGGACAAGCTTTCTTGGTGTACCCCCTTCTTCAAGGTCCAAGCAGTACTGAGGTTTTTCAAGACAAGATCTTGGAGCGTACCCCTTTCTTCAATGTCCAGGTAGTCCAGAAGTATTTTTAGGACAAGCTTTTAGTGTGTACCCCCTTCTTCAACATCCAAGGAGTACTGAAGTATTTTCAGGACAAGCTTTTGGGATATACCTTCTTCTTCAAGGTCCAAGCAGTACTGAAGTATTTTCAGGACAAGCTTTCTTGGTGTACCCGCTTCTTCAAGGTCAAGCAGTACTGAAGTATTTTCAAGGCACGCTTTCTGGGTATACCCCCTTCTTCAAGGTCCAAGCAGTACTGAAGTATTTTCAGGGCATGCTTTCAGAGTATACCCCCTTATTCAAGGTCCAAGCAGTACTGAAGTATTTTCAGGGCACGTTTTCAGGGTATACCCCCTTCTTAAAGGTCCAAGCAGTACTGAAGTATTTTCAGGACAAGCTTATGGGGTGTACCATCTTCTTCAAGGTCTAAGCAGCACTACTGCTTGGACCTTGAGGAAGGGGGTACACCCCAAAAACCTGTCCTGAAAATTTGGATGTTCATGCAGATATTAAAAGTATCATGGACAATACTCAATTGTTTTTATAACAAGTACACTAATACTGCTACAATCACCTCAAGCAATCTGTAGTGGACAGAATTAAAGCAGAGCTTTGGGCTGCAACAGAAAAAAAATACCCTTGATAAAGTCCATCTATTGATCACCTAGTCAGAGAACAGATGTATAGTGTACACTTTGCTGTATCTGTAGCAATTATAAATGGTCAGAACTGATACATAAGTGCATTAATAAACATTAGTTTATAAAACTGTCAGATTAGGAGACCTTCTGGCCATAAATATTAGAGTGCTGTCAAAGATGTATGCAGTTCAATGTATTCAACAGCTTTCTTCAAAAGATCTGTTGGCCAAGAGTGTCTGAAGCTACCCATAGACATCTTATAAGGGGTAAGTCTCATGTTGCTCTGCACAGTGCTGATAAGCTTGACAGTCTTTCAGATGCTCTGTAGACTTTTTTGGTACAGACAACATTTCAGTACTTCTTTTCTGATGGGTAGAGATCTGATATACAATGGAGAACTTGCCTGCCCACATGTAGGCAGGTGTAGTGTAGTTAGCTAGTCTTCTACTAGGTGGCTCTGGTTACAGCAGACTGTGTCATCAGGTGCTAGGCCCCTTTTAGCTAGAGCCCTTCTGCAGAAATGTAATGGGTGAGTCAGTGCATAGATATACGCCAGGTTGGGAGAAGCTCTAGTGCAGCTGGGGCATGGGATCCAAACACCCAACACCAGCACAGATGTAATCAGCACGTAAAGGTCCTGGACAGGGCTGGAGGCTGGGGAAAGGCAGACCTGCAACCAAGAGAGCCAGTTGTGGACGTCCTGACCCTTATGGAGGTGAGGACTAGGGAGTGTTGCTAATGGCCTTTTAGGCCTGGCCAAGAGTACCCTGAGTAAGGCTATAACCCTGGAGGGTCCTTGGAAAGGTGTACCTACAAAAGAGGTGACTACAGAGAGACTACGAGAAGGAGACGGCTGCTTATAGTGCTGCATATGCTTTCATATGTGACTGATGTGGACTATTAAAAATAACTGACTATGTATTGTGAAGTGACTCCGGAATGTATGTTTGTAACGGAACCGGACCCCGACTGCACTAGGGTATTACTCTTGCTTCCCTGTCCGAACACCATCCACAGACCCCACCGCTGATCATACAGGAAATAGACAGCACCAGACTCTTCTTAAGACAGGAAGTCAACTGCTATTTTAACACAAACACAAGATATATACACAGGGCGGGGAAATACAACCAGGAACAGGAAACACATCAGCAGGCCGTCCCATCAGGGGGAAGGGCTGCTGGTAACACCCCCCCACCAAACCAAGACACACAATAGAACAATGGAACAACCAGGTGGCAGTAAACAACAGACAACCCGCACACCAATACACAAACATTACATCCCATAATAGTTTGCTAAAACAATGGGATGCAGCTGCATGGCAGAGAACAATGAACAATCCCCACACCAATATTAGAACATATCACCCTGTACCCCTAAAAGGCACAGGGTGCCTTACACATAAGAGGAGCATGGGGAGATGATACAGGGGTCCCCCCACCCCCAAAAGTCACTCCCATCACAATGTTGATGTGATGTGACTGTTTATGCCATTTCTTAAGTACCATCAGTAAAATGCAGCAACCCTATTCATGTGTGGACATTCCTTCCTTGGGAAATGTCATGTGGAGGACTCTGGTACGGAGTGGAGCACAATATGGGTTTGGTTTCAGCAGGAGGGACAGTATTCTAGTAATGCTCCAAAGAGCAGGGCCCTTGATCCCCTCATGTTTTGCATTGTATTGGTATTGTTCTGTCACATGTTCTGTCCCCTTTGTAATGTACAGCGCTGAGCGAACTATTGGTGCTTTATAAATACTGTATGATAATAATAATAATAATAGGAGCAGGGCAGGGACTTGTGTTCTTGCCACCAATCTTAAAAGGATGACCTCCTAAGAACAGGGCAACACTTTGCACAGCGTTCCTCTGTGGCCTACCCTTGTACAACACATATCCTCTCACATCTTTTAGATCACTGCTAGAGATGAGCGAATTATTCAAAAATTCGGTTCGGCTGATTCGCCGAATTCGCCGAATAAATTCGCTTCGAGCCGAATATATTCGCTGCGAATTTAACTTATATATAAAAAGGGTGTTTCTAGGCTTCAGAGAGCCTTTATATTAGTGCAGAACACTGTACCTTTAATTTAAATGCCCTTGGAGTCTGCTGGGGAAGAGAAATAATACTGTCAGTCAGTATGACATGCAGATGAGTACCGTCGATCTTAGAATCACCGCACACTTCACTCATTTGGGCAGTCACGGGGCCAAAACCAGAGTGTGGATCCACAGTGTGGCGGTGGAGGGGGCAGCAGCAATGGGAGGCCATACAGCACCCTATGACAAAATGGAACCCACCAGCAGTGTGAGGAGACCTGAAAGTGGCACATGGCAGAGTGTGGCGATGGAGACAGCAGCAATGGGAGGCCGTACAGGGACCCATGACACACTCTGGACCTGGCAGCAGCATGAGGAGGCGGTACAGGGGCCCATGACAGATTACGGGCCTGGCAGCAGCATGAGGAGTCGGTACTGGGGGCCCATGGCAGATTACGGGCCTGGCAGCAGCATGAGGAGGCGTTACAGGGGCCCATGGCAGAGTGGCGGAGCGTAAGCAGCTAAAATTGAAGGCCATACAGAGGCCTATGTTAAAAAGTCCCCCAGCAGCAGCCGTGGGGAGACGACTATCAAGAGTCCAATGGCAGAGTGGCGGAGCAGAAGCAGCTTCAATTGAAGGCCATACACAGGCCTAGGTTTAAAAGTCCCTCACAGTTAATTCCAATAGCGAACTCTACTCCTCCGTGCAATCTACTTACGAGACCCTGGGCAGGTCTGGGTCCAATTTGTGGTAGAGACTGGTTTTGTTCAGCCATGCTTGAGCGAGTAATAACAGGTCTGTGCTGCCCTTTGGTGTCTGGCTTAATGCGCACAACACTGAACGTCCCAGCGTTTGTCAACGATTTGCCGTTAAGTGTGATGCAAACCCCGCTGAACCACGTTCATGAGGAGCCGGTACAGGGGGCCATGAATCAGTATGGACCTGGCAGCAGCGTGAGCAGACGACAGAGGCACATGGCGCAGGGTGGCGGTGTATGCAGCATTATTCGGAAGCCAAACACAGGCCTAGGTTAAAAAAGCGGAAGCCGTCAGCAGCGTGAGCAGACGACAGAGACACATGGCGCAGGGTGGCGGTGGATGCAGCAGTATTCGGAAGCCAAACACAGGCCTTGGTTAAAAAGCTGAAGCCGTCAGCAGCGTGAGCAGACGACAGAGGCACATGGCGCAGGGTGGCGGTGGAGGCAGCAGCAATGGAAGGCCATACAGCACCCTATCACAAAATGGAACCCACCAACAGTGTAAGGAGACCTGAAAGTGGCACATGGCAGAGTCTGGCGATGAAGTCAGCAGCAATGGGAGGCCGTACAGGGACCCATGACACACTCTGGACACCTGGCAGGGCAGCAGCAAGAGGAGGCGGTACAGGGGCCCATGGCAGAGTGGCGAAGCGTAAGCAGCTTAAATTGAAGGCCATACAGAGGCCTATGTTAAAAAGTCCCCCCAGCAGCAGTGTGGGGAGACGACTATCAAGAGTCCAATGGCAGAGTGGCGGAGCAGAAGCAGCTTCAATTGAAGGCCATACACAGGCCCTAGGTTAAAAGTCCCCCCAGCAGCAGCGTGGGGAGACGACTATCAAGAGTCCAATGGCAGAGTGGCGGAGCGGAAGCAGCTTCAATTGAAGGCCATACACAGGCCTAGGTTAAAAAGTCCCCCCAGCAGCAGTGTGGGGAGACGACTATCAAGAGTCCAATGGCTGAGTGGCGATCCGGGGGAAGTCAGCGTTGTGATTGCAGATGCAATGCAGAAAAATTCTACGAAGTAATGCCGTGGGTGCGAAGAAGATCATATACCGTCGTACTTCCATCCATAAGACGGAACAACCTGCGAACCGGGAGCTTTATTGCCCTGACCCGCTGAACAGCTTCTGGGATACCCAAGAGGCCCATGGCAGAGTGGCGGAGCGTAAGCAGCTTCAATTAAAGGCCATACAGAGGCCTATGTTAAAAAGTCCCCCCAGCAGCAGCGTGGGGAGACGACTATCAGGAGTCCAATGGCAGAGTGGCGGAGCGGAAGCAGCTTCAATTGAAGGCCATACACAGGCCTAGGTTAAAAAGTCCCCCCAGCAGCAGTGTGTGGGGAGATGACTATCAAGAGTCCAATGGCTGAGTGCCGATCCGGGAAGTCAGCGTTGTGATTGCAGATGCAATGCAGAGATTCTATGAGGTGATGCCGTGGGTGCGAAGAAGATCATATACCGTCGTACTTCCATCCATAAGACGGAACAAACCTGCGAACCGGGAGCTTTATTGCCCTGACCCGCTGAGCAGCTTCTGGGATACCCAAGAGGCCCATGGCAGAGTGGCGGAGCGTAAGCAGCTTCAATTAAAGGCCATACAGAGGCCTATGTTAAAAAGTCCCCCCAGCAGCAGCGTGGGGGAGACGACTATCAAGAGTCCAATGGCAGAGTGGCGGAGCGGAAGCAGCTTCAATTGAAGGCCATACACAGGCCTAGGTTAAAAAGTCCCCCCCAGCAGCAGTGTGGGGAGACGACTATCAAGGCCTCCCTCTCAGCAGGTGTGAAAAAGGCCACCATTTTTGAACGGTAGCGAGGGTCCAACAAGGTGGACAGCCAAAAGTCATCCCTCTGTCTGATGGTTATTATTCGGCTGTCGCTACGCAAGCAACCGACGAGCATGCTATGAGCCATTTTGTGCCAAGGAATGCGAGGGACTCCCTGCCTCCATCTCCACAGCATACTGCCATGGTGCGTCTGGGTCCTCTGTCTCCTCCTCCTCCTCTACCAGATGCTCCTGCTCCTCCACTCCTGTCCGCTGAGTGGAAAAAACCACCCATTTCACTCAATAATTCCTGAGCACCAATGTCCTCCTCTACCTCCTCCTCTTCTTCCTGTCCTGCCCCCATAGGGGTCATGTGGCGTTGAGATCTGTGCGCCACGTCTACCGCACCCTGACCAGCCATTGTTAACAGCATTTGTTCCAGGACGTGCAACAGAGGAATGACGTCGTTCATCCCATAGTCCTGCCGACTCACGAATAGCGTGGCCTCCTCAAAGGGCCTGAGCAAGCGGCAGGTGTCACGCATGAGCTGCCAATGGCTGACATCTAAGTTACACAGGGGAGTACCTTTATCCGCTTGTAACATCAGGAAATCGGTGATGGCCTTTCGCTGTTCGTAAAGGCGGTCTAACATATGTAGGGTTGAATTCCACCTTGTTGCAACGTCGCAGATCAGGCGATGCTGTGGAATTTCGTTCTGCCGCTGCAGCTCAAGGAGGGTGTGCTTTGCGGTGTAGGAATGGCTGAAATGCATGCAAAGTTTACGTGACATTTTAAGGATGTCTTGCAGTGGGATGGTGGATTTTAGGAACCGCTTGACAACCAGATTGAACACGTGAGCCATGCATGGCGCATGGCACAACCTTCCTTGACGCAGAGCAGACACCATGTTCTTTCCGTTGTCGGTCAACATGGTTCCGATTTTCAGTTTGCGCGGAGACAGCCATCTGTCGATTTCTCTGTTCATTACACTCAGAAGTTCCTCCTCCCTGTGTGACTACGTTCGCCAAGGCATACCAGGTGCAGCACAGCGTGACACCGTTGCGCCCTGCACATGTGATATGCCGGTCGGGTAATGGGACTTGGCACGGGGGTGGCGGCTGAGGACACGGCGGAAGAAGAGGTGGTAGAGGCGGACATCTTTGCTGGACCAAGGACGTGCAAACGTGGAGGCAAAAGCGGCGTGACCTGTCCAAGTTGCTGGTGCGGCTGTGCCGGCACCACGTTCACCCAGTGGGCCGTAAATGACATGTACTGTCCCTGACCGTAGTTATACAGCTCCACACGTCGGCGCTGCCGTGCACTTTGGCAGAGACCGACATGCTCAAAGACTGGCCCACCATCTCTTCTACTTGTGAATGCAGGGCTGGCACTGCCTTTTTGGCGAAGAAATGCCGGCTTGGCACTCTCCACCGCGGCTCGGCACAAGCCATCATTTCTCGGAAAGGTGCTGAGTCCACCACTTGGAAAGGGAGGGACTGCAGCACCAGCAACTTGGACAGGAGGACGTTCAGTTCTGCACCGTCGGGTGCGTGCTCGCAAACTGTTGTCTCTTGGAAACGGATTCCAAGAAAGACTGCTGACGGAATCCGTGAAGAGGAGTAGCAGGAGAAGGAGCATCTGAACGAGCGGAAGATGCCAACGAGCGACAACTCCCCTCAGCAGAGGTGTTGGAGCCTTGACTGGCTGATAGAGGGCGATTGACGTCGGGTGACGGAGCAAGTAACGGAGCGGGTGATGGAGCGGGGGCTGGGGCAGGCAGAACCGCCGTATCTTTATCACGGTTTTCCCAGGCCACCGAATGGCGACACTGCATATGCTGACGCAACGCTGTAGCCCCAACATTGGCCCCCCTGGCCACGCTTGACTTTCTGGCCACATAGTCGACATACGGCTACGTTTACTTCCTCGGGCGGTTTTGACGAAAAATTGCCACACCGCCGAGTAGGAAACTTTGCCCCCGCTACTCCTCACTGGCTGACTGCTACTTCCTCCGTGCACACCGGCACCACTACTGGCCGTGGTGGTAGGCTGCAGTGGAGGGGAGCTGGTGCTCTACTCCCTGGCCGTTTGCTCCACTGACACTGCTGCGACCCTGCTGCCTCCTGGGCAACCCACCGACTGTTTTGCTCGCTGGCAAGCTGGCCCCCTCTTCTCCTGATGATGCGGAAGCAATAGCCTGATGACGACGAGGCTGCCAAGTGCGATCAGCCTCATCATCATCAATTAGGGTCTCCGCGTCACTACTAGCCCCCTCGGCTGCGTGTGGGTCAGGAGACAGACCTAAATGCAAAACCAAAGTAATATAAAATATAAAATTATAAAAATTATCTGCACGTGACGTCATACGCATCAACGTTTGACCGGAAGTGCGAGCGCGGCCATTTTGGAAGTGGGAACATGCGGTTTATGTTTCCCTGAACCTGTCCATGTGCACACTGCTTGTGAGGAGGAGCTGTTACCACGAATTGTATGTGAGTTATCAATAAAGAAGATTATCTCTTACACTGTGACTGGTTTTTGGAGGAAGGTGGAGGAAGTGACCCTAGTCTTTGGAGAAAGTCGAGGAGAGGAGAGTGTGGCCCAGAGTGGTGGTTAGTCTGCCCTGCTGTTTCTACTATAGGGTGAATGTGCTTTCACTCATATTGCCATTTCACTTATCTCTTTCACTGACTGGTTCTCTGGAGGAAAGTGGAGGAAGTGACCCTAGTCCTGGGAGAAAATCGAGGAGAGGAGAGTGTAACCCAGAGTGGTTAATCTGCCTTACTGTTTCTGCTATAGGGTAATTACCCATCCATATTAGAGTTGGAGAGTTTGGGATTTGGTTTTCATTTATCACCCTTTTATATATTAGAGTGTTATTTGTGGAGTGGTTTTTCACATATTGTATGTGCTTTCACTCATACTGTCATTTCACTTATTTTATGTGTTTTGACACTTGGTTTGAGTTTACACGTTTAGTTAATATCTTGCATGCTGCTGCACAGCGAGTGGCACGTGTGTTTTCATTATTTAAGGTATGACACTATGTCGAGTTTTTTTTTTTTCTTTTTTTGAGGTATATGAATATCAAAATTTGCAGGTATTAAGAAGGTTTTGGTGATGAAAGAAGAAGAAAAAGTTTAAGTTTTTGTGTTTACACTTGTGAGGATTATTTTTTTGGGGATTCCTTTTGGGACTTTTTGATTTTATTTTATTTTTGGACACGGTGGGACTTTGGACATAATTTTTGCAGATAATTATTTGCAGATAATTTTTTATAATTTTATATTTTATATTACTTTGGTTTTGCATTTTGATTTGATGTATTTTGTTCATAGAAAAGTCACATTATATATTATTCAGTTGGCCTTCAAGGGTGAAGGCAGATCACTTTTCTGGGATATTATAGGTTGAAGTGTGTTGTAATATAGAAGTACAGGAGGACAGACCTGTCTCTAGACCGGCTACCGAGCCACTCTCCTCGCCAGTACTTCTTCGCCTGGCTGCTGAAGAGGCGGATGTCTCCCCCCGTTCCTGACCGCCCTCTGTTAGCTCTTCTCACTGTACAGTGGGGCTGAGCCCACAGCATGCGATTACTTCGCTTGGTGAGGGAACACCACAAAGGACAGGGGCAGGTCGAGGACACGTGATTTCAGTGGGCTTGCTCCCGGGCCATGCCAACTAACGGTTGTGTCTGACGTACCCACCGACCGTTGGCTGTAGGTGTCAGAGGTGACCTGGGAAGAGGAAGACGACCGAGTCAACCAATCGATGACGGCAGGGTTGTCGGTGGAGACACGACCGCTGGATGACACCGGGAGCACTGCCTCTGGCTGCGACTAGTGCTGCCTCGACCCCTTCCTCTGCTGCCACGTCTGCTCGCTCCTGAAACATTGCCTCCTCTGCCACTCCTCTGCGTGTTGTCTGACATACTCTTTAATTCAATAAGCACCCAAAAATAAAACCGGGATTTAACTCTTTGAACGTACAATAGTGGTTGTGAAGCAGAAAGTCAGTTTATTTAGCACAATCGGTCAATTGCAGCTTGCCGTTGGCTGTAAACTATACGTTTATGTCACTGGAATGCACTAATCACCCAAAAAATATTACCGCCACCCGGCGTGTATATGGATTTAACTCTCTTTGAACGTACAATAGTGGTTGTGAAGCAGAAAGTCAGTTTATTGTACACAATCGGTCAATTGCAGCTTGCCGTTGGCTGGAAACTGTACGTTTAGGTCACTGGAATGCACTAATCACCCAAAAAATATTACCGCCAGCCGGCATGTAAATGGATTTAACTCTTTGAACGTACAATAGTGGTTGTGAAGCAGAAAGTCAGTTTATATTGTACACAATCGGTCAATTGCAGCTTGCTGTTGGCTGTAAACTGTACGTTTATGTCACTGGAATGCACTAATCACCCAAAAAATATTACCGCCAGCCGGCGTGTAAATGGATTTAACTCTTTGAACG